CCCCCTTCTTTTTCGCTACAGGGCACGGGGTTGGCATCTACCGAATTTAGGAAAAACTACATCTCCGGCGATCGCGGTCGTTGCGCCATGTACGTAGCAGTTTCCACACGCCCGACAATACAGTGCCAACGCCGACGAAGTCGGGAAGTTGTGCGGAATCACATTTTTTGCCCAAAACTACATGGCGTATAAGAAGTGGAATCGGTTCAAATGATGCTATCAATCTCAAGGGTGTAGCCCTTTTTAAAAGGGAGAAAGAGAAAAAGAGAAAGAAAAAAAAAAAACTCACAACCACTCCAACTTCAGACATACCGATCTTAATAAGAATTGAGCTGTCAGGAAAGACAAAAAAAAATAAAAAATAAAAAAATCACACACATACATCTATAATGATATAATCACGTCGTAAATGACCCTTGCAGCCTTGCACATAAATAAGTTGCTTTTCTGTACTGGATTCTAGTCCTACTAAGAGCACACTCACAAGTCCATAATCTTAAATGTATTTGACCTCAAGTATGGCCCTGCTTGGATGTATCTGACCGCAGTTACGTCCAGAAACAATTGTGAAAATCAAAGTGTGAGTGTGCCCTTACACAACACAATTCAACCGACCGATTCAATCTGACGAGTACATCTGCAGCAGAACACAACTCATTAGTAGATCCGACTGCCTGTCAGCAAAATCGACAGTTTTTCTTCCAGAGAGGGTAGATGCACCCCCCCTCTTTGTGTTCCTTTTCACATCAGGTCAGTGGCCCCTTTCTCGATGAATCTGGCCGCTACCATCTTCCCCCAAACATAAGGCATATGTGCTATATAAACAAATACGGTGTGCTTTATTCGTTTAATCCCCATATGTGTTCTATTTCAGTTCCAAGGAACAATTCTCTTCGGGCATCGCACGGCACACGAAACAGTAAAGACACGAGTGCATCTGCCCAGGAAAGGTGGCGAGATACACTCATTACTATTTATAGGAAACCGATGAACCTGCCCATTCTCTGTGAGAAGATGCACTCGTTTCGTTTTTCGTTTCGTGTGCCTTGTGGCGACGCCCGGGGCCAGGTCCCACTAGCAGCGTTGAGTTTCCTCAACCCCTGAATCTGGACGCGTTCGTGGAGATGTGCGGTTGAGAAAACTCAACGCGATTTCTGCACATGTCCACAGACACGTCCAGATTCAGGCGTTGAGGAAACTCAACGCCCCTAGTGGGACCTGGCCACCGTATGCTATTAGCAACAAAAATGATGGTTAACAACCAATACGCGGACACAAACAATTTAGAAAGAGAGAGAAGGAGGGAGAGAGGAAGAGAGAAGGAAGAAGAAGAAAAGGAATAGAGGGAAGGAGAGACAGAAGAGGGAGATGAAGGAGTACAAGACCAGTAGCGATGTCCCCGAACGCGACTTCGAATTCGAAAAATAAACGTGAAGGACAAGAAGCAAAGGAAAAAACCCTTGCATGGCGAACGACCCTACGGGTTTCACCTGGTCGCCTACCAGGATCATCAGGGGTCTAAAGTCGGTGAACCGGCCGAGGCAAGGGCGGTCTAGGTTGAGTAGGATCAGTTGCCGGCCACTGGGTCTGTGTACCGTCTGGTCGGGCCTACTACCGTCTTCCCCCGAACATAACGCACCCTAAAAATGAATGTATACAAGCTATACTTCCGGCCAGATACAGCCAAAATAAGGGTGTGTTGTGTTCGGGGGAAAGACGGTAGTACTTGGGCCTTACTCCACTCCCGTCACGGTTACACCAAGCCGGAAAGATTGCTCGTATACATTTATTATTTATTATGGGCCTGGTTCCACTGCAGAACATTCTAAGTGTATCGGGAGGCGACAATGGTCTTCCTACATTTAAAATGTTGGGTCAGTCTGAATGGATCCGTCCAGACTCCAGAGTCCAGATATATGTTGAAGTTTTGAGTGGCGGAGTCCGTCAGGCCATCACTGTCCTGTACACTACTCCAGTCGGGCAGCGGCTTACACTGCAGCACACTGCCTCAGTGTTGCACCACAGTGCCAATGTATCTGGACGGAAATATGACTTCTATAGGGTCTTGTCCAGAGCAGAAAGGGGAAAAAAAACAACAACGAGCAGAGCACAGTGGGATGACATTTGTCCAGGGGAGGAGATACGCGTAAGTCTTCTGTTTTTCCTTCTTTCTTTTCTGTTTTTGCTGTTGGGCGACGATCAAGCAAGCACTCTCGCACACAATTCTTCACGCTATCATGACTGTATCTCGACGGAAATATGACTTGAATAGGTTCTTGGCGAGGGCACCTTGTGAGAGGGAGAAGACGGTGGTCGGGAAAAAAAAAAAAAAAAAAAAAGGTTAAAAAAACAGAGCATACATGCAGATTAAGAGCATATGGTTGGAGAAAAAAAAAAAAAAAAAAGGAAAGAAAAGTTTCCAGGTTGTCTTTCTCTGGGCTACCAGAGTGGCCCGGGGTCCCTTGCCCGGCCGGGCCAAAAAAAAAATATAAAAAATAAAAAAAGAATTATTTTTAAAATTTTATTTTTTATTCTAAATTTGGTGAAGAATTTCGATGTGATCCTGAGGCAAAAGTTGTTCAGTTTATTATTCTGCATAAGTTAGCATAACATAGTTTTGTTTCGGTTTTCTTTTTTTTTTTCTCTTTTTTTGCTGGCACCTTCCTTGGTCCTTACACGGGCTGGCCACCCGGGACCCGGGCGGCCCGGCTGGTAGCCTAGGTCTTTCTTCTTTTTCTAGGAAGGAAAAAAAAAAGTGCCGGTTGCATGACATCATATGGTTGTACTGTCGAAGTGTGATCACTATTTAAGAAAGTTAGAAAAAAAAAAAAAAAAAAAGTGCTGTTCAAAGTTCGAACTTGAAAATCAACGACTTCACTTCTGTCGTCTCTTCCATTCTTTACACGCTCCGCCTGAGGTGCAAGGTTGGAGGCCCTGTGACGCCTGTGCGTGCATTTGATGAACTGTGAATTTGCCTTGGGCACTGTGCCTGGAGTAAAAAAAAAAGTGGCCTTTTTTGGGAAAAATAATAATAATAATAAAAAAAGTGGCCTTTTTAGGAAAAAAAATAAATCAAAAGTAATTACTGAAGATGTGATGTTATCCGCAATGATGACGCAGATGACAAAACTGAGGGAAAAAAAAAAAAAAGTAGTTGAAAGCGGCAAGGAAGAAGAGAAGGAAAAAAAAAAGTGTGGGGGGGGGGGAGGAGGAAAAAAAACAAAAAAAAGTTGAAAAAACGAAAAACAAAAAAATGTGATGTGATGGTATCAAGCATCAATGCACACATGTACTATAACAGTGTGATTTATTTATTTATTTATTCTTGAACCATTTCCCAATTTATGTGTGTCGTTATTGCACAGGGGCCATGCTAATCTTCTTTCCAGCTTTTATGGAATGAAGATTAGCATGGCCCCTCTGCAAGGATGCGTTTTTTTTTTTTTTTTTTTTTTTTAAACCATTTCCCATACTCTGTACCATTCCAATTTTAATGGACAACCCAAAGGACAGTGCGATAGCGATTTAAGAAAGTACAAAAAAGTACCATAAAGTTATAAACAGTTAAAAAAACGCAGTTCAAAATTCGAACTTCGAAGTCTCAAGCTTCGCAAAGTACCTACTCAAGGATGTGATGGTATGCGTAAGAGAGAGAGAGAGAGAGAGAGAGAGAGAGAGAGAGAGAGAGAGAGNCTTATACACATCTAGATGTGTATAAGAGACAGGAGGGTATGTGAGAGAGAGAGAGAGAGAGAGAGAGAGAGAGAGAGAGAGAGAGAGAGAGAGAGAGAGAGAGAGGTGGTTTGAAAATTCAAAATTGTAATCAACGAGGACTTTAATAGTTATTCTGACTTATTCATATTCGGAATATTTAATTATTGAAATATATATTAATCATTAATGGTGAAAGAAAAAAAAAAACAATATACCAACTCTGAGCAGCAGAGGGAGGGGTGGGAGAGGCTGGGGAGAAGGCCGCAGCCAGCAAAGAACAGGCAAATAAAATTGAAATAAATAAAATGCATGGATGAAAAGGCTTGTTTACAAATCAAATAAAAAATTATAAAATCATATAACGAACTACGAAAAAAACAAAGTAGAAATCTCTGCTTACAACAAAACAAAAAAAAAACAAAAAAAACAAAAACAAACAAACAAACAAACAAACAAACAAACAATTGCTCTCTGGTCTTGTCAGCGGGACGCTGGACCCGGTTTCCAGCAGCTGCAGCTCCGCACTAATACATGGGAGCCATCCACAAATGGGGTCTCTACTATTGGGGAATAATGCCCATATCACCCCCAAGGGCCCCAACAGTAGCCTTCCGCAGATGTTTTCTGAAGGGGCGGGGGGGGGAACAGAAAAAGAAGATAGAAATGGTAAAATGCAAATACCAACCGCAATTTCAACGAAGCGGATTCAGAACGACTGACGAAAAATTGCATGGACGACTGTCTCCGTCAGACGATGAAACATGGCATGGACGACCGTCTCGGTCAGACGATGAAACATGGCATGGACAACCGTCTTGGTCAGACCCACGCATACCGGTCAACAGAAAGAAGGGCGACCGTTGACCGGTCAACAGAAAGAAGGGCTACCGTTGATCGGTCAACAGAAAGAAGGGCTACCGTTGACCGGTCAACAGAAAGAAGGGCTAACGTTGACCGGTCAACAGAAAGAAGGGTTAGTGTTGACCGCTCAGTAGAAAGAAGGGTTAGTGTTGACCAATCAACAGAAAGAAGGGCTGCCATCCGAGCCGAGGTCGGACTCGATCTGCTTTAGCAAGCTGAGCCCTAGAACGGCATCGTTGCAGTTTGTCTGTACCTGGACAGGTACAGACCAAATCTGCTGCCTCATCCGTCCGGCTCCTGCCGTTTTAATCACTATGCCTCCTTCGTCAGCCTGCGAAACCGTGACGAGGCACTTTGTTGTGCCACACAAGCCCTCGCCGCTGAACCGCACCTGCCACCGTGCCTGAGCTCCTGCTGCTGGTTTAATCACATCCTTCCCCTCCTGTGCAGCTGCTGCTGTGCCCTGATCGCGGTCTGGCTCGAGAGATGCAAGCAGGTCGGTCAACGAGTCCACGAGCCACATGTTCGCCGCATTAAGCACCCTGCGTACAACTGCCCCAACGATCGGTACAGCCGAAGGCGACTCCTGCTGCGGCCTCCCCGCTGTCATCACGTTTACTTTGTCTGAAGAAGTACCTGCCGTCAAAGGACCTGGTCTGCTGTGAGAGGGAACGTTCAGCATGGGGACGTCCTGTGGAGCATGCGCAATGAAGAGACACGTTCGTACATTCTTGTGTAATCCTGACAATTTCTCTTGCGTAGCCAAAAACGTCGGCGTGTCGATTGCCCGTGGTCGCACCAACGCCCCTGGAACAGGAAACAGTTTTGCTGCAAAGACGCCCCGACTACAGGATATACGTAGTTCTACGGGTTTCAACCGTTGCTTGAAGTCCGCATGCACAGCTCCCTCTGCCGATCGGCCTGGCAAAAGCTCATCTACCTCAACAAGGGAGACGACTGTCGCATCCTCGTTGCCTGCGCCTTCATTTCTGCTCAAGGAGTTATCTTCTTGTACTCTGATTTCGCGGATAGGACCGTTCGACCGGTTCGAGAAAAAGAGCTGGACGCAAACCATGGACTTCGAGTACTCGGAGATAGCACGGGAGAACAAGTACTCAACCTCCAGCCCGTCTCCATTGTTTGGGTCTAGCAACTTCTTCCTTTGAGAACGCACCGCAGCTCCAGACTTGCGTTCAGACGACTTGGTGAGTGCAATTCCCGGTCCGTTTCTCTCGGTCCCATCCTCAAATTCCGGCTCCCCGACTTCTGCGTCGCCACCGAGCTGCCTCGCTTTCCTGCCTTTCTGCTCCTTGATACCACTATCATGCCCATCTTCTATATACTCCCCCACCTCTGCCTCCTCCTCTGGTATCTCCTCCTCCTCCTCCTCCTCCTCCTCCTCCTCCTCTTCCTCCTCCTCCTCCTGCTCCTCCCCTTCTTCGTCGTCTTCCTCCTCCTCCTCCTCCTCCTCCTCCTCCTCCTCCTGCACCTCCTTGTCCTCCTCTTCACGCTCTCCAAGCCAGGCTTCGAGCTCTTCACTTGATCGCACACCTCTTCCCCTGGACTCACCTAAGCTTTCCGGGGACCCAGGCTGATGACCACCTCCTCCACCTCCTCCACCTCCTCCCCCTCCGACATTCCCTGGATGTCCATCGCCATGCCTTGCGCCCGATGAACCCTCCTCTCCGGATCTCTTCAAGCCTCCCTCTTCATTATTGCCATCTGGTCGACCCTCCGACCCTCCTGTGCTGTCATCATAGCCGCCGCTCTGGCTCTCACTGCCAGAACCACCTTCTTTCCGATTACCGTCCTCACTGTCCACGTCCTCCCCTTGCCAGGCAGCATCAGCGCCAACTTCGGTCAGTGGCAGAATTGTCCTCGGTGCCGGGAGTTCCTCGTACCCTTGGGCCCTGTGTCCCACAACATGGGACATGGTACCCAACAAAAATTTGCGCCGGTTTCCTGTCCCATATGGGCCCGGGGATTGAGGAGCACGGACCCTAGGAGGGTTCAAAACCTGTTCCATAGGACTTCGCACAGCCACAGCTGACGGAAGCTTGGGTGAGTCCACCTCCCCACTAGCTTGTTGGTCCGAATCCTGTGCGGGTACCTCTCTGTCAGGCTGCCCGTCCTCACCCATCAACTGCACACTTCCATCCTTTTCTTCATCGTCAAAACCGGCACGCGTCTTCTCTTGCATCCGACTCTCTTCTCCTTCATCCTCCAGTGAACTGTCAATACCTGCGTCTCCTGCCTCCTCCTCCTCCAGCCTTCCCTCACAGGCATCGCTCTCCCCCTGCGTCTCCCCTGTTAACATATCCTCCTGTGCCTCCCCTGTTAATAAACCTGTTGGCCCAGAATCCCCCTGCGTCTCTGTAGGTAACAAACCCTTTGCACCAGAACCCCCTTGCGCGTCCCCTGTTAGCAAATCCGTGGTGGTCCCAGAACCTTGCGGTCCCTTTTGCAAGACCTTCAGTGCTCGGGCAGCTTGCCTCGCCTGTGCATATGCCAACTTCGCCCTCTGCGACAAACTCTTGAGCTCCGAACGGGACAAAACCAAGTGTTTTATCATCCGTGCACGGTCCCGGATATCGTAGTCCCAGTCGTATCGGGCAAGATCGGTCACGTAGGAAAGGAGTTTCGCATTTGTTGCTGCGACTATGACATCCTCAGATCTCCTAGACTGCATGAATACCTTCACAGAACTGTTTAAGACTTGCAGCTTCGTCTCCGACTCCTCTGCGGCAAAGTTCTTCGCCATGTAGCGCAGGGCGACAAAGATAGCTTTACCGAGGCGGGAACTGATGGCGACATGCTGGCCCATCATTGCAACGACCGTGGCCCGGGCCTGAGGCACAGAGATGAGCGGTAGACTGCGAATGAGCTCCAACAGCAGTGCTTCGTGTGCAGCAGGACTCGTCTCCACAATGTTGTGCATGGCAAGGATCGCTTCCGTGACAACCATCGCCTCGTTCGAGCCAGATCTGTACTCCTCCTCCTCAGGCATTACAAGACAGGCACCCCGCACACCCAAACGCCGAGAACTCACATCCTGCAAGCTTCCCTCCGGCAAAGAAACCGACGTGCCTTCCTCGTCATCAGCCTTGCTTAGGCAAGCTGACGACGATGGCCCATTCAATTGCTTAGTCGACAAGCCGCTCGCTCCTGTCGCACGTGCTGTGTCGGCATCAGAACGGCTTCTCGACGTTGTCCCTGACGGCATGGTTGTTAGGTTTGACCGTGACGCCGCCGAATCAGTGGTGGTCCTACCTTCCTGACCATGTGTAGGTTTCCTTTCTTCCTCCTTCCCTCCTTCGCCGCCGTGCAGCTTATTACCGCGCTCGTTGCTGACTGGCTTTGCCAGAACTGTCCTTGCAAGCATCAACAACCCACGGACACATGCCGGAGCAATGGAAGGAAGATGCAACGCACAATGTCCAATCGCTCTTATCGTTTCAGCGACAAACTGTCTGTTGGAGTTGAGCACATAGATTTCAAACTCGCGGAGTATATCCTCAATGTTCTTCTGTGTCGCAATGGTCTGCAAGATCTGGAGCTTCATCTGACGGATGCGATATGGGTCCGTGGACCGGACAAAGAACTCTTTGTGGCACGACTCAAAGAGATGAGGCATTTCAGAGGCCAGGGTGGCGATGTTTGCCAGGACGACGTACTCGATTTCAACGGATGACCGAGGCATGAAGAGCAGCGCCCTTACAGCTCGCTTGACATCCGACATCGGTGCCAGACAGTAGAAGACGAGGACAGCCGCCATGACGACACAGTTGTTGCGGCTGAACAAAAGAGGTTCCGTGCACTTGAGCAAAAGTGCCAAGCCCTCAGGTATTCGCCGCGTGTCATCTCTGTACGATCTCTCCCCATGGGCTCCCTCGGAGGCACTAACGGCCACGGAGGAATGCCTCTCATGCAACACGTCACTCGCCTCCGTCAAATTAGAACTTGGCTTCCTATGCCCAGCTCTTCCCGCCCTCCTCCTGCCGTTTTCCAAAGCTGTGTCGATTTGCTTTTGCCCAGAGTCACTTGTTGTTTTGCGGGTGCTCCTGTTAGGTGACGAAGTGAGCGAGCCAATGGACCCGCTAAGCCCATGGGGAGCATCGTGCCGGACCGACAGCGAGGAGGAATTGAGACTGCTAGCCCCCACAGCACCATCCTCTGGCCACCTTCTTTTGGCAGGACCCCAACAAGCAACGGCATATCGCATGAGTAAGTCTGCCAATGCAGGCTGGCCCCACTCATCGAGATCTGGGAGAAGCCTACATAAGGTTCTGTAGTGCGGGCCCAGCAGCGCAAGTCTATCTGAGCACACAGTCGCGAAAGCGGTCGCAGCAGCTGCCACAACGCCAATCGAAGGGTCAGCAATAAGAATACAGAGGAGCTCTTTGAGCGAATCGCTGAACGTGTCACACCCATTGAAATGAACCTTCAGAATTGCATGCGCTGCACACCTGCGAACATACGGCGACGGATCGCGAGCGCAGCGCTTAACTGCCTGGACGACCAAGGGCATTGCGACCCGAACGCGTATTTCCGACATCGCCCGCAACGCCATCGCGCGAACAGACGGATTGGTATCCACCAGGTCTCGCTGCAGCGTGTTGATCGCCATGAGGGCTTCATCGGGCTGCCTCTCGGCATACCGAGCAAGGTAGATGTATACAAGTTTCTTCAACTCCAGCGACTGCGCCGCAATGTTCTTCACAACACGCGGGAAGTACTCCGACACATCCTTTCCCAAGGACATCAACGCCAGTATCCGCTTCATCGCGCCCGTTTTGTCGCGTTCATATTTGCTCTCAAGAAGTTGGCGGATGTCCGTGTCCTCTGGCTCATCAAAGTACTGGGCATCTGTGCCCACACGGCTCATGATCGACAACGACCGATTCATCTTCGTCAGCTTTTCCTCGCAATATCCAACTGCAACTCACCGCCTACTCTTCCAACCACATCGCACACCTCCTCCCTTCTCCCAACTCCTCCCCTTTCCCCTTCATAACCCTCCACCAAACTTACACCACACAGGTAATTCTCTTGTTATCTGGTCATTGCGTCCACCCTCAATCCATCATTGAGGTGTGTGTGTCGTCATGCCAGTCCTTCAGGACATCCATCAAACTAGACCAATACGCTGGTGGTCCGCAATGCAAATCGCCCAGCTGGACGGATGCCATCCATCTCAGACGTCCAATAGCACACCTTTCTGCAGACACAATAGGACCGCAGAGGTCACCATGCCATGAGAGACCTGATCCTTTTCCTCTTCTTTTTTTTTTTTTCGCCTCATAATCTTGTTATCAGCAAATCATTTTTACAGCAGTCCTCTGCTGTCGGAGGGTTCCGATCAGCACCGACGAATTGGAGGGTTCACCCGGTTCACGTCTTTTTTCCATCTTTTTCGCAAACCACTTTGCCCTCTTGAGCAACAAGTTCGTGCAAATGCCAACGAAAAAAGATCAACAAAAGTGTCAAAGAAAGCTGCCTACTGTGTCGACCCGAACGAATACAACGTACGGTCCTTATTACCGTATCTAGACTCAAAGTTCCCCCAAATACAGCTATAATCAATAATGATCGCACGACATACGTTGCTAAGCCTTTTTTTTTTTTGGTCTTTTTTCGGGTGCACAGAGTTAGACGGGGGAACTTCTCAACACACTTTGTGTGTAGCAGGGACTTGTTAAAAATTGCTATGCCTTTCTTTTTTTTTTTTTTTT